GGCAGGCCCACTGCCACTTCAGCTTACTATTCCGTTGGACTATGTCGGTTAGTCTGGTTCTACTGCGGATATACTCATTTCTAAGTTTATCACGCAGTGAAACCCCGAGCATAGCCCTCTCCATAGCTCGCTGAGCGACCTTGAACTTCCTCATACGGCCAGCAGTGAAGGACCACGTCTCAGAACCGTAAGTCATCACTGGCAACACGCACTGGTTGTACAATTTCGTTTTAAGGTTTTGAGGTATGTCTGACGAGAAGATGTGTCGTAGTTTCCCGAACGCTGCCCAGCCGAGTTGAATCCGTCGATTGACCTCGGTCGAAGTTGGACTTACCTAGTCGGACTATTTGTCCCAGATAAACATACTCGTCAACAACTTCGAGCTTAGTGCCCCCAACAACTACCGGCATAGGTGTGACATGGACATTAAACATGATCTTTGTTTTGTCCATGTTCATCCTAAGACCTATTCGTTGGGAGACACTATTGAGGTCATTGAGCTTGGTGCTTAGGTCCTCCAGCGATTCTGCCATAAGGACTATATCGTCGGCAAATCGAAGGTGAGTGATGTACTCGCCATTGATGTTAATACCGTATCCTTTCCAGTCCAGAATCTTGAAAACGTCTTCCAATGCAGCGGTGAAGCGTTTCGGGGATATAACATCACCCCGTCTTACACCTCTCTGCAATTGGATAGGTTTCGTACTCTGGTTCTGTACTCGGATAGTCATCGTAGCTCTACTGTACAAACACTTCAGCACTTCGATATACCGACAGTCAACTTGGCACTGCTGAAGGGACTGCAGAACCCCCCAAATTTCGACGGAATCAAAGGCTTTCTCATAGTCCACACACGCCAGACATAGTGGCAAATTGTACTCCTCGGACTTCTGTACAATTTGCCGAAGGGTATGTATGTGGTCTATGGTGCTAAAGCCCTTTCGGAAACCGGCTTGTTCGGGAGGCTGGAAATCGTGAAGACTGCGCGCGAGACGATTCGTAATGACTCTCGAAAACAGCACGTAGACGCGGCTCAGAAGGGAAATCGGTCTCTAGTTCTTCAAGAGAGTGTTGTCACCTTTCTTGAAGAACAAGACCATCGCACTTCTGCTCCATGCCTCCGGTGTAACGCCACCATGGAGGACGGAATCAAAGAGCTTCTGAAGGACTTCAAGTACCGGTTTTCCACCCGCTTTCAGAAGCTACGCTGTAATTCCATCCTCGTCTGGGGCCTTGCCGTTTTTAAGGTGCTGGAGAGCCATTCTAATCTCGCTCAGACTGACGTCCAGGATATCTTCGGAATGGTGTCGGATAAGACTCGCTCTTGGATCGTTACACGACCAGGTCCACTTCCCGTGGGGCCGCTTCTGGAAGAAAGAGTTCATCATAAAGAGTCCCTCTTTCTCCATGAAGTCGGCCAGCTGCTGGTCCCTTTGGTTCTGTTGCCCTATTCCGAATTTCTCTACTTTCAGCTCACCGTTCTCTCTTGTGCTTAGTTTTGCGTTGAAGTCTCCCATTAACATCGTATAGTGGGTTTTGGAGGAATGCATGGCTCTAGAGATATCCTCATACATTTCCTCCACCTCCTCATCGGGGTGTGCCGAGGTTGGTGCGTAAACCTGTATGACCTTCAGCGAATACCGTTTGGTGATTCTGAGTATAAGGTACGCAACCCTCGTCGACACACTCCCGATCTTTACAACGTTGTTAACGAGAGACTTGTGGACGATAAATCCGACACCTCCTTGGGACAGATGGTCGCCCTCCCGGTGATAGAACAAGTTGCCGGATTCGAGGATTACCGTGTCCTCCCCTTCTCTTCGGACTTCGGATAATCCTATAATATGCTAGCGTAACTTGTTCTATCTCTTCTTTCAGCTCCACGATCTTCTCGTCAGTCCTGGGTGCGTGCGTTGTATGTTGCCAGGTCTTCGTCTTCAGGAGATTCTTAGCACCCCCTGCCCCGCCGTTACCATGGTCGCCACCGTAGCCAGGAATAGCGGGGCCGCCGGGGACTGGGGGCCGTTTCTTTGTTACTCTCATCATATTGGGGGGTATTTGCCATAGTTGACACGCTTGGCGAGCGGGTTGGCAACCGCAGTATTTTTATTGTAAGTTTGTTGTTATCTGGAAGATGCTGCTGCCCATCTCCTGCCTGTTTCCCTTTGTCGCCTTTTACGACACCCACGGGAAGATATGGGGTAGTGGATATTCTTAACCGCCACTACACGGCATGGCAGACGTACGACATGGTATCTTGAGCATATTTATGCATATGTCGAGGACTGCCGATGTATGTTGCTGGAAGAATTGTCATCCGGCCGATATTCTTTGCATTTCTCGAAGGTGAATATACCCTTTAGAATGGAGTTTAGTTTTGTTCAACCTTTTTTTTTGACATACATAGTATCAACATCATATTCGTGAAATAATCGTCGACATTTCAAGATCTGATTGCCTTCATTTTCACGAACCATCAGGTGGTATGAATAATAGTTCATTGAACTGACTTTTATTGTTGGTTTCGGCATCTCTAAATAAAATATTATTGTTTTAACGACAGTGATTAAACTTGCATACAATACACGTAGTAGCTGATACAAATTCACCATTGCTAACACACATTTTTATTATTTTTAAGAAGATTTATCATCTTAAATGAGAAGTGATAATCATCTTCACCTTGCCAAAATGTGATAGGATATGCGCCAGTGCATCATATGAGCGATGTGTTTCGTACACACGTTGTAACATCACTCGCGAATAATATTGTTTATATTACGTACTTCAAATTTTCTACAATTTGGAAGCCTGTAATATTGTTGTTAAAACTATAACAATGGCAACTTCATCAATTGTTGTTGCATTGAAACGTCTTGCATGTTGGTCCACAGCAGTTTTATCAGCTCTGATTACAATTTTGTGATTATCAGTTGGCTTGAGATCTTTAGAAAGTTTGTAATTCTTCTACAATAGACCTCTGCAATTAATCGTTACGTGCACAAAGCAGATCAATTTATTGTGTTGAATTGCCCATGAAATAAATTTGCAGGAATTTGTAGTGTTACCACAGAATAAATGATAGGTGTTACCTTGAAAGTTTGCATGAAATTGTCTGAAAATGGAATGAAGTAATTTGAATGCAATTGTTATATTTTTGGATATTTGTAAGGAAATGTATAGAATCCGTTCCTGTTCCCGAAACCTTTCTTTACTTGGTAGAACCATGCTGCTGCTAAATTACTGGTATAGTTGTAGCACGAATGGGTCGGCTCGACCGGGGAAGGACCACGCTCTCACAGAATACCAGCGACAAATAGCAGCTTAACACTGCTGTGTTTCGTATGGTGAGTGTAGAGAACTGGAGACCCTTTTTACTGGAAAAGAGGCATTCCATCTTAGTCCTCACGGGTGACGACGCATCTGCATTTTGATTCGTAATCGAGGACAGATGTAGATGTCTATGGGCCACAGCAACCACTTACTATCAGGTGGACTGTGTGCTCGTTTGTCACCTTTATCCTATAAAAAAAACCTATGAGTACAATGGCTCTGGTTGCAGAACCAATGGCACTAATTTCACTCTTCAATTTGCGCACCACAATCCAGTGGCTTCATTTTTGTATATCAATGCTTTAAAATATGGGCAAACTGAGTTCATAGATCCAATAGCAACTCATTGGTAGGCACTGTAGTCAATTGAAACATCGTAACTGAAAGCAGCATGCTCAAACTTGATTATTAGCTGAATGATGCGCTGCAAAAGTTTGTGATATCCGAATCCTTTCAATTTCATTTCACTCTTCACGTTGCTGAGTAAATTACTCCGCCCGCGTCTTATTGGTGGCATGAGTCATGAACTGAGTATAAATGGACACAAAAAATAAACCAATCAACCAAAGATAAATGAGGTCATTAACGAATTTTCTGCCACCAGGGCGGCGCCACTTAAAAGTGAGGTAAATTATTAACTACATTATTATCAGCTTCCCTCTTCATAAAACAGTATACGTCATAAATCATTTTTCTCACTTCTCTATGTAAAACCATTTCGTAATTTAAAACTTTTGTGCGCGATGGTATTTTTAAAAGGAACGTAACGTGGATATACGCGGGAAGCAAAGCTCAACTGATGAACCAATAGCGCATCGGTAAACATGCGGCGCGTGGCTCACCCGCCCCGCGCCCTACCTCATACCACCAAGTAGACCGATAAATCGCCTATGCGCAGCTTGACCGCCAGCGTTCTTTTTACGTGACGCGTGTTATATAATATTTGACAAATTTCATAGCGGGGAAGTTAATTTGTTCGGACAATGTAAAGGTTATTGTTTCTTTCTGTAATATTAGCTATATTTTATATTAATAAGATTAAAAATAAATAAACCAAGCCACAGATATTCTTAGAAGTAGAAAAATATAGAAAAGTTAAAAATGTGCAAAAAAATTGAAGATCAAACCACTGAGGCTTTGTGTATAAATTGTTATTTGTGTTATTTAGTAATAATACTCTAGAAACTAATACTAAAACTAAAACTTTTATTAAATACTAATTTCTCAATTAAATGACATTGTGTAACAAAAATACTTTACCCCAGTGTCTACTAGCGACATCTGGTGATTAGAAAATTATTAGCCCTCATTGAGGAACTTCTTTGTTGATTGAGAAGAGAAAATTTATAAACAACCAAGAAAATAACACGCTAATTATTGAGAATGTACTGAAAAACTGTCAAAGTCAAACCGTATATCGTAGAAAAAGAAAATGTCTAAAGTGCAGGTGATGCAACTTTGTATGAAAACTGAGAAATATGTACACAATCATGATTTTGTCAATGTTTGTGTTGGGCTTGTAAAAATAAAGCAAGAAAAAAATATCGCTGTTTCTTTTCTTCATGTTGTTTTAGATTGCCATTTTAAAAATTAGATACAAGTATATATATATTAGTAGGAGTAGTATTAATTTTGATCATGCACTCAATGGTCATCTTTATTCGCAGATATATGAAGGAGATGGACTGCCAGATAAGATATGTTCGGAGTGCATACAGAAACTCAGCAGCGCGCACATATTTAAGCAGCAGTGCGAGAGATCGGATCAGGAGCTACGACGCAACTATGTGCCGCCACCGGGTAATTTCGCTCTTTCATTTCTCGGTTTTATTTGCATATATTATACAAATAAATAATATGGCCCTGTTCCTTTGCGAAGTTTAGACAACTCATCAGTTTCTTATTTTATATTAATTATAGTTTAGTAAAAATTATCATTATTGCAATAAATTGTTGTAAAACTGCCTTATTTATCCATCAGAAAAAATCCCTTTGTACATTTTTGCTCTTTTAGAAAATATTCTTTTATTATTATAGGTTTCAGTACCGCACCTTCCCCACCAAACAGGCAGAGCAGCGACTCGGCTTTCTCAAACAACACTGACGTATCCAGCAACAACAAGCCTACAGCTTCACCCATTGAAAGCAAGGTCACACCTAGTCGGAGCCGTAAACGCAGTCGGGAAAGCGTCGACAATGCTTCATCCAGCAGCCAGTCTCATGACTACCGACCGAGTTCCACCAAGCGAGTCGAGGAGCTCCGTACCTCACAGAAAAGGCCGAGAAGATCACAAAACGCATCTTACGTTGATTCCGATTTTGATGATAACAGCGTCTCCCATTTCTCTGTCGAAACCGACTCGGATGAGCCACTATTGAAAAGTGAACATAAGTGTAAAATCTGTGGTAAAGAATTCCTCTCAAAAATGAGCGTGCTTGCACACACCAAAGTGCATTTTAGAAAATCTCTGAAACAGAATGCATTAGTGGACATACCCAAACCGACAGTCACCAATGAGAGTACGGAAGACGCTAACGACGTCGATGATAAGCTAACGTGCGAGAAATGCGACAAGACATTTAAATTGAAAATAATGTTGAAGCGTCATCTAGAGACCTGTGACAAGACACCGTCAAAGTCGCCGATGAAAGAGCTACTGGTGTCGTTAGAGCCAATCGACGCGGGCCCGGCTCAGTCGAATAAAATTGACTGCGAAATGTGCACTACAAAATTTAAGACGATAGACAATTTAGAGAAGCATATGAGGGTAGTTCACGCGGCCGTCCTCAATCGTAATAAATACGAACAGAACGAGAACGGAAAGGTGAGCGTTCCCTGCTTCTACTGTGGACAACATTTTGACGATTACTACCTCCACGCCGCGCACTTTGAAACCTGCTCCAAAAAGGACGATTCTGTTAACTTCACTTGCCCCATATGCCAGAAGGTGATGACAAGGAAGAACTCGTACTTCATACATTTAAAAGCTATGCATTTCGAACCTCGCCTCGGCAACCGTGAAGAGGGCTCCAAACAGCCGTTTGAGTGCCGCATATGCAGTAAGAAGTTGGCATCACAAGACCAACTAATCACGCACCTTGCTGCACACATGTCTAATATAAACGATAACGAAGATGGCGCTGACGATGGCTCTCGGTATGTTTGTTTATATTTAATAACGTATATTGTTTCAATTCTCATGTAGTAGCGGCGTAGGAACACTCACCACCCCATATTATACCGTAAGAGGCGACAGAGGGAAACTGAAACAGAATTGGCAGCAGCATCTTCCTGATAACTACTCAATAACAATAATAATAAACTGGCTTGTCGTGATGTGAGATTAACTTTTTAATAATAAAACTTTAAGTCCTTGCATTAAATTAACTGTTGAAAATGTAAGCTTTAACCAATGTGGACTCAGTTCTGACCACTGTTAAACATCTTTTTATAGGAGAGGGGGCAAACGAGCATGCGACTCCCCTGATGGTAGGTAATTACCGCCGCCCATGGACAACTGCAACACCAGGGGAATTGCAAATGTGTTGCCGGCCTTTAAAAAGTAGTAGTAGGCTCTTTTCTTGAAGGTCCTTAAGTCGTATCGGTCCGGAAAAATCGCTGATGGTAATCGATTCCACAAGGAAGTTGTGCGAGGAAGAAAACATATTCTAAATCGCAAAGTGGTGGACCGTCAATCATCCAGATGGTATGGATGGTATCGCGAGTTTTGTCGCGATGTGCTCCCCTAGGCCTCGATCGCCTGCGCCCGTCTATGTATTAGGTAAACAATAAGATCACCAGCTGAGCGACCCCGACGGAAACCGTACTGGCGGTCACTAATCAGCTGGTGCTCCTCAAGGTGCTGCATGAGCTGGCAGTTAATAATGGACCCCATTATTTTTGAGAACAAGCAGGTGATGGCGATAGGCCTGTAGTTGTATGGATCAGACTGGTTACCTTTTTTAGGGAGTGGGTGCACGAAAGCTGTCTTCCATGAATTCGGTACAACGCCTAGAGAGTAGGAGTACCGGAAAAAACGCGTTAGAACCGGTGCCAACTCTGGAGCGCACGTTCTCAGCACAATTGGCGGGATTCCGTCAGGCCCATTCGACTTGTGTATGTCCAGGAAAAAGAGAGCTTTGCGTACTGTGCACTGTGTAAATCGCACATCAGGCATAGAGCACTGCGGGATGGTCGGCGGTGTGTTTCCCTTCCCCCCGTCATCGAGAGTCAAGTTGAACGCAAAAAGGGAGCCTAAAAGATCGGATTTCTCTTTTGCGGCGTGGGCCAGTGAGTCGTCCTCCCTGTGCAGAAATGGTAGTGACGACTTACAGAAATTCCCTTGAACAGCCTTGGCGAGAGACCAGAATGCACAGGTTTTCACTAATTTCTCGCCAATTGTGTAAATGTGCTCATACTTTGCCTTAGCAATTATTCTTTCGAAGGACCTGGAGGCGAAGTTACTTCTTATCTTCTTTTTAAGCATGCTGGTGTTCACATCCCGAGCCGCCGAAGCCTCCTCCCAGGCTCGATAACACTCCTGCTTACAGCGTAATTCAGTCTTACACGAGTGACCAAACCAAGGCTGAGATCTGGTTCCGATGGGTACCACAGGTGATGGAATAAATAGTTCCATTATTCCCTGTAGCACTACATCAGTGACAAAGTCAGCAACAGCGCTGGGATCATTCGGCAAAAAACAAACCCGGCCCCATGGGTAGGATGCAAAGAAAGACCGCATTCCGTCCCAATCTGCCGACCTGTAATGCCAAACACGGCGGCAGCCTACAGAACGCAACCACGAGGAGAGCGTGAGTGGCACCACACTCCGGATCAGACAATGGTCCGAAGAGCCGAATGGGGCATCGACGGAAACCTGATATCCGTCCGGATGAGAGGTCAGCAGAAGGTCCAACAGGGAAGGTGTATGATCCTCCACATCTGGAATCCCAATATATATCCCATATGAATTTATCACTATCTGACCAGTAGTTTTGGAGTTATCTTTAATAATGCGTATTAATATTGAAGTCGGTTGTATAATTATTTTATTTCATTAATTTATTTATTTATTCCTCTTTTTTTAAAAAACGTTACCTCCACTAGGATTTTCTCCTGTATTGCGGGGGTAGTTTACATACATAGATTTTTCAATTACAAACATCCAGAACCAGAACAATTATTTGTAGGTCATACAAATACTTGTTCCGTGCAGAATTCGAACCCGCGGCCCTTAGCGCTGCAATTCATTGATAAGCCACAGCGCCACGAAGCCCTCCCTTGTGTGTTTCACATTTTTTGCTATTTACAAACGTGCGACACGCGACAGCATTATCAATGAAAGAGTGGCAATGAGAAGTGCTCCTATTTTCAATATCTTTCTTTTATGGACCAAGTAAGTGTTTAACTAATAATATGTAATATTATCTATTGTTCCCCAAACCAGTATAATATGCTGATCTTGTGTTGTAGGATGTCACTAGTACTGGGAGATCTATTTACACTGAACTATTTTTCAGTGTAAACAGACATTATACGCGAAAAAATCGGTTGGATTGCTAATCAAATAATAAATCTGTAACTATGGCGTCAGTAACTAGGTACCTAATTATCTAGATCTACCTATAAATAATAATATCTTATCCTTTCGATATCCTTAAGAACAGTAAAGTATGAAAACTCAACATTCCTATTGTTATTTAAGCATCCATATGTTATGCAGGCTGTTTGAGTGGCCATTCTTGAATAAAAACTCAAAAATAAATATCAAGTGCCTAAATACTTATAAGAGAAAAATACTTTTTTGTTAATGTAATGTGCGCGTCAATTAGAGCGCGCGCTTGACAACCTCACTTAATTAGCCTCTTGTAGGCGACCGCGCAGCGTAAGTATATTTTCATGCCTAAAGCGAGGAGTGAGACAGGCCTGCTAATACCCAGAAAATAAGTATATTTTTCTACTTATTCCGACAGACCAACCTTTTTCGAGAGTCATTGCTTTGACTTTTAAGAAAGAAAATTAAGACCGGCTATAAAAAAAAATTACTTGGTGTATTTATTCAATCTAAATAAATTGCTGCAGGACAACTGTCGCCTGTAATGAATGAGCTAATGAAACATTATATTTTCTGTGCATAGGAGAATTTATAGGGTGTTTCATTGTTCGCAGCACTATTGATAAGCCACGCCTATCACAGCTCAATTAGTGTTAGGTCATTTTCGGAGCTAGGAATGCTTCCTTTTTTATTTCCGTTCACTTACTACACAATACTTATGTAATAATACTTACTTAAGTATTAAGTAAGTATTATATATAATGTATATTGAATAAAATAGTTTCTGTTTCTAATTACCCCATTCATAGTTCAATTGCCTTAGGCCTTAGGGCATGGGTTAAGCTATTTAAAACTCGCTAGCAGAATCGCATTTCCATTTTTATTTATAATAAATTAGTAATTTCCTCACAGGTAATTCTTCTGAAGGTATAACTGCTTGAATAGTTTTCGTTTTCTACTAGATGATTCTCACAAGTCTTATTTATTTACAGCATGAGTCATGCAGAAGACGATACTTCGGTAACATCTAGCTACAGTAATGCGCATGTACCCAGCGGGCCATTAAAATGCAGCATGTGCGAGAAACGATTCACGTATAAGAAAGCGCTCCTGAGTCATGAACAGAGACATCTCTCCGGAGAGTTGCAGATAAAGACAGAGCCACCTGATAAGAATACGTCTAGCAGTTTGCTAAGCGAGACTTTCCGTCAGTCAGAGTCAGATTCTAGTCAGGAGGAAGGGGATGATAATACGTGCGACATTTGTGAGAAGCAGTTCTCCTATAAACGTCTCCTAATTCATCACAAACGGACCAAGCACAACATGAGCTCAGGCACCAAGCGAGCGAAAATTAACCTTAAAGATTGCACCGTCCGCTGTCTCATCTGCGACTTGGAGATGAAAGTTAGTGCAATAAATGAGCACAACCAAAAACACACATCTGTAAACATAAAGCCGAGGAATCTCTACACGTGTGCAGAATGCTCCGAGAAATTTAAGAGTTGTAGCTCGCTGGCAAATCACATCAAACTAGTGCACAGGCTGAAGCAGCCCCAGCAGCCCAAGTTAGAGGGAGCAGACTTGGCGGATTTTTGTGAAGTCGTTGTGACCAAGGCGGAACCCCTGGTGTCAAACCAGAGTCACAACGACTTTGGGATGGTTCCGTCGAATCAGGATGGCAGTCCGCTTGTTAATTTGAGCGGATTCACTTGCCCAATATGTAGTAAGCAGATGCCTACATTGATTTCGCTGAAGAGACATGTGAACTGGCATTCTAACGTTGGTAACAACATTGAGAAGAAGTTGGAGTGTTTTGTTTGCAAAGAGGTAAGTTTGGAGTTACTTTTTAAACTATAAACTTCGTCATTAATTTAATTTTGAACTTTTTTCATGTCCTAAAAAGTAATACTTAATTCTCAATGTAATTATGCAGGTTTTTTGACATCAATCTTTATTATTTTTGCATCTGCATTTTGATTCTTAATCGAGGATAAACCATGAGGTGGATTGTGTGCTCGTTTGTCACCATATTCTATTAAAAAAAATTGTGATAATTGTCATCAAAGTGAAAATAATGACTATTTTAGTAAGGTGATACAGTACAAGGGTGCAACACTGGGACAATACTTATAGTGGGGGAGTCCAAGAGGCTAAATAAGAATTTACTCGAGCGTCGTGGGGATCTATTGGATTGTGAAGATTAGATGCTAAAAAGAAAAAAAAGTTTTATGATGTGCCCTTTCACTAGTGGTGGGAGCATGTACAGGTTTTCAAAAATGTAAAAAAAAAACAATTCCAAATATTTCAGATATTGATAGTGTATGCGCCCCATGTGCTTCTGATAACGGAGAAATATTAATTTGGCGGTTTGCATGGTGGGGGTGGCCGTACGAAGGGGTAGAAAATAGGAAAAAAAATTTATTCAAGCGCGTCAGATATTGGAAGGGATGTTCAGAGAACTCTCAAGTGGTAGTCCTATTCAAAAGACTGACGATTTGGACGCGACTAAAAGTCTATGCAGATTTTTGAAAATGCAAAAATACATCGAGGCATTGAAATACTCGAGCGCGTTAGATACGAACGTATATAATCGAGATACGAACGCTTCATCTTGATGTCCTTGTCGTACTGACCTATAATCTAACAATTATGTGGAGGAGTTTCCTTAATCTGACGGTTTGAATTTTTTACAATATAAATAAAAATATAATAGAAGTACAATATAAAATATAGAAGAAATATATATATAGAAATATATATTTCTTCGACTTCGACGATACTCTAAAACCGTCTCGCATTTATTTTATGTTTCTGACGTAAATTTTATTATTTTTTCAAATGTTTTTGTCCACAAAATACACAATTCGAACTATTGTCACTCATTCTTGTAACATAATATATCAAACTTACTGCACTGAATACAATAAATGTTTTTTTAAAAATAATAAAAAACGAAAACGTTGTACATGCACGCGTGGTTGTGATTGATACTCCGTGGTTGTGATCAGCTGTGTTGGCATTATGGGGACGGTGCGAGAGAGTGAGACATAGAGAAAGAGTGAGAAGGGCAGAGTGGCGCGAAGTGGGAAATACATAGCTCTCAGCAGCAGGAGCTGCATGCACCACACTTTATTGATGATTGTTGCTACGTCGGCTTGTGCAAATTGTCAGATTGTTATTTCCGTGATCTGTCACTAATTTCCCTCAAAATAAAAATAAAGTAAACCGCGCTCGAGATTTTTTTTTTTTTGTGACCTTACATTTCCTTATGTCACGCTCAAATTGTCAGATTGTTGAAATGCACATTTATCTACATGTAATTTGCTTTAAGCTGACGCGCTTGAGTTTTTCTAACGATCGTTTTTTTTTACTATTCTGATCGGCTGCCCTAGACGCTCTACCCTATATAAAGGGTTGAGGTGCGGTGGGAGTACTCAACAGGGTGCAAGGTTTCACCTCTAGTGAAATTCTGTCGCGCTTGAGTAAATCCCAAAATCCCCGCTTGGGCTCCCCTACTATTACCGCGATTGGTTCTTTAGACGATCATCGTCGTCTATTAGATACTCATGTGTGATTTGCGTGCTGTACAATTGCGAACTTGTCTTGACTACTGTTGTCCGTGCTCATGCCTCATATGTATACTTTTATGCAAGCCATATTCGTCTCTTATTAATGTGGTCACTATCACTCTTGTTAATTGAGTTTTAATTCATCATTATACATTACGAACCAACTGTGTAGTCTATATTTTGCACCATAGATAACGACGGGCTGTTTTCCTCAATAACGTCAAAGCGCGTATTTTGCGTGTCCTTGCATTATAATTGGGAGGGAGCCTGTATTCAGTAATGAAATATGTGCATATGTACTATGTAGGTTGTTACTTAAATCAGATTTTATACTTCTAGATGTTCTTTATTATCAGCCTTTTTTTTAGACCTCTATTAAACGCAAGGCTTTTATAAGATTTTTAAAATGAAGTAATTCTCGGAAGACTAACCACGCTCGGCAGGTGGATTTGGTGAGCGCAGTTGATAGCCTCGCGTTATTGTCAAACCGTCACTAAAGACACCAAAAACCCGTCACCGGTCTTTTTAGATTTGAGTTTGCTATGTTAGGATGGATTTTCCACCATTATTCAGCTACCACAGATAACAATCGTTGATAAACAGATTGTATTGCCTTGGCAATAGGCGAAAATGTATTTTATATTCCATGTTTCAATCTTTTTTTGATGATTTTTGAGTGCTGTGTTAAAAAGAAGCAAAATTAATTTCTATTTATATTCTTTTCATTTGCAGAAATTTAGATTCCAATGCCACTACCGGCTGCATATGCGCGAGCACTATAACGACCCCAACCTGGACCCAAAGCTGCTGACTTGCTCCATTTGCAACCGCAAGAGCAAGCATCTGCGTGCTGCTAAGGCCCATATGAACTTCCACAAGCAAACACGCTTCAAGAACAAAGACTACCAGTGTTCCATATGCAAGAGAATATTCCAGTTTAGAAAAGTCTACTTGTCGCACATGGCAATACATTATAAACGTGGCGAGAGTGTGAACACTGTTGTGGGTGTCGAGCTGCCGAATACCGCTGATAAAACGGTATTCGATGGCAAATATACCTGCCATCATTGCGGGAAAGTGTGCGATTCGGAGACCTCATTAAAGCACCATATCATTTGGCACAAATCTAAAACTTCGCTCTTTGGTGCTCGCCACGAATGTCACATTTGCCATATCCAATTCACCAATAAGAGGAGATTAGAGCTCCACATCAGAACTCATTACGAGGACGACAATGGCCCATACAAGTGTCCCATATGTGGCAAAGGGTTTATCGACGAGGATTTCCACAGGAGACATGTGAAAGGACACAATTTCGATCACCAATCACATAAGGCTAGGATCGCGAACCTCAGGAAGGATAAAGTAAAGTGCCCAATTTGTGCTCGTTTCTATCCAGACTTGGTGAAACTCATACGCCATTTAAGAAGAACGCATCCTGAGAGCAAAATGATTAAGTCCGATCCAGATGCACCTGCCCAGAATTACTTCTCGTGCAAACTGTGTGCTAAAGTATTCTTAGATGAGCGACGATTGCAGCACCATGAGGAGGCTCATTTGAGAAAGCCAGAGTTCTTTAAATGCAAATTCTGTGGCAAAAAAACTATCTCCTTGAAGAATCATAGAATTCATATTAAGGCCCACTTAACACAAAAATATATTGATGAGCCCCTGAAATGTATGCATTGTGATGAAATCTTTACAAGAGGGTATGACTTGCACCATCACTTACGCGATGTGCATGATATTAATGAAACATGGATTGCTGAGAGAACGGAGAAGACTTTAAATGGACCATTGAAGGAATTGCAATGCTCAATCTGCCTTAAGATCCTTGCAAGTAAGGGCAACTTTGAACGCCATATCGACTATCACAACTCGCTAAGGTGTAATTACTGCTTTGACTACTTCAGCTCCTTGAGGTTCTTGGAGGGGCACCTTGCATTCAGCTGTGAGAAAAAGAAATTGATAGGGGACACTGAAGTGTATCCCAAAAAGGTAAAATGTCACATATGTTACAAAGCTTTCCACCTGCAAGTGAAGTTAGACTGTCATCTACGCACACAGCATAATATCAAAGTTTCTAAAGAAGCATCCGAAGGCAAGAAGGAGATTGTCTGTGATTACTGCTTCCGAGTATTTGAGAATGAGTATGCTTTGAGCACCCACAAGATTTACCATCGCACTATAGGATATTACGGCTGCTTATATTGCAATCGAAAGTTTAACACCATAACTCTGTACAAAAAACACAAGAACCATCATTTATCACAACTTAACGTCGATAACCCAACAAAATGTGAGCACTGCGATGAGAAGTTTGTTGCATTCCGAGAGATGATATATCATATGAGGGACGTCCACGGTGACAACAAAGAGTGGATTGTAATGCCTAAGGAGTCCATAGAGGAGAAGTGCCCCATTTGTAACAAAATATTCTTTAACCTCCATAAACATTTGACTTATCATGAAGAGAATAGGTGCAAAAAATGCGCGGAATATTTCTATTCACAAATTGACTTCGATAATCATCTTTGTGCCATAGAAAGCGATGAAGAAGTTGACGAGAATAATGAGAACGATTTACGACCAAAATATGAAGAGTGTGCTTTTTGCTTCAAGCCTATAACTAAGAAGAACTCGCACCGTTTGCATGATCACATACATAGAGTTTCTGGTTCGATTTCGTGCCGATTTTGCCATCTCAAATTTAAAACTATTGATGCATTTAATATTCATGCGTTCTCCCACCGTAGCAGGAAGTATAATAAAAAGCCGATTAAATGTCGAAAGTGTGGTGAGAAGTTTGTGCGCTATGGCCCCTTCATGAAGCACATGAAATCTGCTCATAAGTCAACTCAGAAATTACATTATAGAACCATGGTAAAGCCAGAGCTCTGTGTTGTTTGCGGCGATGAATTCCCAAATCTCCATAACCACTATCGAGCCCATTTGCAGAACCAGTGTCAATCATGTCACAAATACTTCACGTCATATAAACTATTTTCGATGCATCAGTGTGATAAAGAAGATTCTGACCCAACAAAAGTTTTCACGTGTGATAAAGATCTAGTAAATTTGATTAATGCTTACACACCTAAAGACGAGAAGGATGATGAGAAATTTTATGGGCATACTGACGATGAAGACGAAGTAGAAGAGGAACCTGAAAAAGATATTCGAGATAATGAATACACAACACAGGATGAAGAGAGTCAGAACTCATCGGATGCAAACTTACATATGATGGTCCATACGCCAATTATATCAGATGTGTTGTCGCTTTATCAAAAGAAGGAAGACAAGCAACTCGATCCTGCTAATGAAGTTGTTAATTTGTCAGATGATGACACTTTGGATGGTGAAGAAGTCGTAACTGTTATAACAATTGATGATTGAATGATTGAAGTGAATACAACAGAAGCATGATTAATGTAATTTAAGTGTCAAATTTAATAGTAGCTGATTTTTTTTTTGTATACCTGAATAAATAAAAATGATACATAGCCTAGATATATGCTTGTTATAGGGAATCTGCAATTATTATTCAACTTAGTAATTGCGTCGACCAAAGCTGGTAATATTGTCAAAGTGCTTCTCGTGTTTTTTTTATACACTGCAGATTAATTATAATCTTTGAAGGAAGGTTGTTGAGGGCATGTACTTTCCATTGATGAGTCTGTCTATTTCTAGTTTTAGAATATTATAAATATAAATGAGTGTATGACAATTATGAATGTGTAAACATGTAGGTGTTATATATAAGTTTGACTTATATTTTTAGTTTGATTGTAATATATAATTACGTTATATGTACCGAAGTTTAAAAATGATTGTATAATTTTCTTCACACCATCAAACAAATTATCCTAACGTGAAGTACCTAGCTTTTTAGATGGTCCTTTTCCGTGGTTCATTTCAGTTAAAAAAATCATGTTTTTAGTTAACTATATCATATCTTGAATAAGGGGTATGTAGTTTTTTATTACATTTTCATGCTATAAATGAGTTATTTATATTCATTATTTAACATTCATTTTTAAACATGGAGATATAATTAGAGAAACTCTTACTATATTATTTTATAAAAGTTATATTATTACATTTGATATGCATCAAGGCAAGGAAAATTGGCGTTTTTAGTATATAATTTACTAAAATATTTTTATAGCATGATCAAAATTTTGATGAATGTTGATAAAGTATTAGAATATAGTTTTTACTGCATTAGTCATTTAATATTATAATATGGTGGATATGTCATGATGAAAAAACATTATGGCCATGATTACAGGTATTGGCATTTAGCTTAAACATAAGTGCATATTGGGGGCTGGTTTACGCAGGTACACTTAAAGATGAAATTATTTATTTCCATATGTTCTCTTAAAGTTAAGTTCTTTTTAGTCCTAAACTGAGCAACAACACGAAAAAAAAAATTGTAGTCTGGAGATGAAAGTGACACTCCTTTTTAATAACCAGTCACATAAAGACATTAGTGACAGTTACAAAAATGTTTAATACTTTGGCTTTCATATCTACTATACTGTCTCTTTTAACGTAAGAACCAGTTGAGCGGTAATTTGTATTGTGTGAAAATGTACTCTGATCTGAGCGGAATATGCAGCCAATGCGAGAAGCAGAAGCATTTAAGAGAATAATTTAAACAACTACCCTAATCGGCAAACCCAAACTACAAAGCCTCTCTGAAACAGCTTTATTCCTTTCATTCCACGTAATTATGCATGTTAACATATTTATCAAAGTTTGACCCAGTGTATCATATTTCTCCATGCTTCGGTAAATTCTCAAATTTGAGACACTGATTGAAAATGATTGATATTGAAATCATTATTGACGTATCTTGAAAAAATAATTATGAATTAGGTTTTCCCAAAAAAACTAGTATTTAATATTTTCTGAATGATTTTATAATTTAATATAGATTTGTAAGACTTCACTTCTCTGTCAATATATTTTACCAGCTATCAGGCTGCCATATTGTAATATAATAATATGCCATAGATCTTTTGTGGAGTATGTGTGTAGTAAAGTAGTATTTACTATTAGTTTTAAGCGTATAGTAGTAAGAAATATGGGAAAGTAAATCAATAATTATGAAATATCTGCATTTCTGTTATAATAATGATTGCATAAACATTTGCTTAGAAATTCAAATATTATTATGTGAATTAATCCATTAATTGTTTTACGTACATACACGTATACAAGATTAAGTAAAGTTAAAAAATCGGTTAAAAATAATTTTAGTCAGTTTTTCCAAACATTCAATCTCTTTTTTTTTCGTTATTTCACGAATTAAAAGAAATTAATCTACATATACATATTTATGGCATCTTATTTAAAGGATCTTTAAAAGTAATGTCCTTCTGTCTGAACCACACATCAGAAACACATGGAAAATAAGAAGAAAACTGCTGCAAACAAAATATACCATAGATTTATTATATATGTATATAGTATATTTTAAATCTCTGATATATACGGATATCTGCTAGTAGCCACCAAAGTTGTTATTTATAAACTAACAAAGCGGCCCGTTTATATGTATTTTTATGAGTATCATTTAATTTGTTTAAATTATGTAATGTAAATTCGTTTTTAATGAGCCACGAAGACTTGACAAGGGTTATATTCGGTTGAAAACATTGCTCCCATTAGAACTGTAAATTCTATAAGTAGATAACGGTATTATTTTATCTTTGTCTAATAGCCTAAATGTAGGGATTATGTTAAATTAATATATGATCGTTGCTAAATTTAAATATCACTTCGAGTTACGTAATTTTTGTTTGTTATTCGAAAATTGTGCTAAGTTTTTTTTATGGAATTGCAATGGTGTAAGGGTCAGAATAGGTCTTTGCTTATCAAAAGGCATATAAGTCTTTACTTACCTGGAATTGAGCTATATTTTGCGAAATAAAATTACCTCAAGAATATTAAATAATCTCCTAGGGCCTAGGGTATTTCCCAACCGTAGCCTGGTTACACTCGCCCCTATTAAAATTTATTTAGAAATAGATATAAAATTGTAGTTTATTTGGGATAAACAATTTAATTATTCTATTGTCTTAAAATATTGTTGTTTTCTACGTAATCATGTTAAATATTTTTTTGTGATAACATGACTTTTATTAATTAGATTAAGTACTGAGTAATGAAGGATAATTGTTTAGGTGTAAAATAAAATTTCAATTCAAAGAGAAACTAGTTTTATTTATATAGAACAGTAGAAAGTTTTTTTGATTAAATATTTAATTAATTTCAATCTTACGCCCTTAATAAAGAAAGTAAAGCTTATGTAAACATACATAATATGTGGTCGCAAAAAAACATTACGATGAAGACAAAAATTGCCAGACCTACGATTAGTGACTCTGGTAACCGTTGACTCTGATAGTACAAAGCATTGGTAGATCGACAAACCTCTACCAAAGTGGCTATTATTTTTCCGAATAGCAAAGGCGCGTACCTAGCAGGCTGTCAATTGATAACCTCCACAATATAAACGTTTTCGTTTTCACGAAAGAAGGCTTAACTTCTACGGCAATAGTCTTCGCGAAATTTGATGTTTTCTTTCAAATTCCATACTTAACTTTCATATTTTCCACAGGACTTTTTTTAACAGACTAAACTTTTAACGTTTATAAACTTGTTAAAGTTCAGACCAACAAAGACAGAAAGGTGATGCCGAAACCATGCTCAACTTGACATGCAATCATGCACACATCTTTTTTCTTTCTTCTTCTTCTTCATCATTATCATCATCATTACAGCCCTTCACAAGTCTACTGCTGAACATAGGCCTCCCCTAAGGAATGCCACAAATGTCCTGAGCCACCTGCATCCATCGACTTCCTGCATGTCTTACCAGGTCTTCAGTCCATCTCGTGGGGGGTCGCCCTACACTTCGCCTACCAGTACGAGGCTGCCATTGCAGAACCTTTCTTCCCCATCGGTTGTCGGTTCTTCGAGCTATATGGCCGGCCCACTGCCACCTCAGCTTACTAATCCGTTGGGCTATGTCGGTTACTCTGGTTCTACTGCGGATATCCTCATTCCTAAGTTTGTCACGCAGAGAAACTCCGAGCATAGCCCTCTCCATAGCTCGCTGAGCGACCTTGAGCCATCCGGCCAGCAGTGAAGGACCACGTCTCAGTTCCATAGATCATCACTGGCAACTGGTTGTACAGTCTCGTTTTCAAGTTTTGAGGTATACCTCACACCTTTTCACAGTGGTAGAGCCATGCTGCAGCTATATTACTGGTATAGTTGTAGCTCGAATGGGTCGGCTCGACCGGAGAAGGACCACGCTCTCACAGAATACTAGCGTAAAATAGCAGCTTAACGCTGCTGTGTTTCGTATGGTGAGTGTAGAGAACCGGAGACCCCTTTTTACTGGAAACGAGGCATTCCATCTTAGTCCTCACGGGTGACAACGCATCTGCATTTTGATTCGTAATCGAAGATAGATGTAGATGTCTATGGGTCACAGCAACCACTTACCATCAGGTGGACTGTGTGCTGGTTTGTCACCCTTATCCTATATTTACATTAAATTAAAAAACCTGACGAGATGTGCCGTAAATGGACATTAAACATGATCTTTGTTTGTCCATGTTCATCTTAAGACCTATCCGTTGGGAGATACTATTGAGATCATTGAGCATAGTGCTTAGGTTTTCCAGCGATTCTGTCATAAGGACTATATCGTCGGCAAATCGAAGGTGAATAATGTACTCGCCATTGATATTAATAATATCCTTTCCAGTCCAGTAGCTTGAAAACGTCTTCCAATACAGCGGTGAAGAGTTTCGGGGATATAACATCATCCTGTCTTACTCTCTGCAGTTGGATAGATTTCGTACTCCGATTCTATACTCATCCGAGACGGCTATCCAGCCATCGTAGCCCTACTGTACAAACACTTCAGCACTTCGATATACCGATAGTCAACTTGGCACCGCTGAAGGGACTGTAGCACCGCCCAAATTTCGACGGAATCAAAGGCTTTCTCATAGTCCACACACGCCAGACATAGTGGCAAATTGTACTCCTCGGACTTCTGTACAATTTGCTGAAGGGTATGTATGTGGTCTATGGTTCTAAAGCCCTTTCGGAAACCGGCGTGTTCGGGAGGCTGGAAGTCGTCAAGTCTGCGTGCGAGACAATTCGAAATGGCTGTCGATAACAGCACGCAGATGCGGCTCAGAAGGGAAATCGGTCTGTAGTTCTTCAAGGGAATGTTATCGCCTTTCTTGAAGAACAACACCACTGCACTTCTGCTCCACGCCTCCGGAGTAGTGCCACCATGGAGGACGGAATGAAAGAGCTTCTGTAGGAATTCAAGTACTGGTTTTCCACCCGCTTTCAGAAGC